CCGCGCTTCCCAAGCGGCGCACTATCCAGTGCGCCACCGGGCCGGCCCCACACAGGGCTATTTTAAGACTTAAAGGAGGCCGTACGTATAAAGTGTTTGGCGGAGTGCTCAGTTAGTTATTATTATCATTACCATCTAAGCATACACCTAATGTGAACAATCATTCTTGCATTAGTACCATTTTTCATATATCTGTAATTGTGTGTGGTCATGGAGAAGGAGAAACAGAGATTGGAGTGCTCAGTTAGTTATTATTATCATTACCATCTAAGCATACACCTAATGTGAACAATCATTCTTGGATTAGTACCATTTTTCATATATCTGTAATTGTGTGTGGTCATGGAGAAGGAGAAACAGAGATGGAAACACCAACCCCCATGTAGCCTCTCCAAGAGCTTTAATCTGAATATTGTCAGGTTTGAGCCTCCTGTTGTGAAAAAAAAAAAAGATTTGTCCTTCTAATATGAATTATTTCTGACATTTTATCCTAGAAAACTATTCTAGCAACCAAGTTGGAAACCACAATGCTGGGAATTTCATGATGCAAACTACAGGTGGCACACCTACATCTGTGCAGGAAGTGGCTCCCCATGCTGGGAGGATCCCTGAAAACCATGACCCTGGTCGCTTGTCAAAATCCCCACCCACCAGAACAGTGGCACTGCAGAAGTGTTTTTTAAAGATCAGTGGCATGACCTGTGCATCCTGTGTGTCTAACATAGAAAGAAATCTGCAGAAGGAAGCTGGTAAGAGATCGACACTCATGTTGAGTTTGGGAATGCTGCTTCTAGACTGCGTGTTTCTCCTTCAGAATCTCCTTCGACTGTGTTTATCAGGAGCCCTGATAATCTGGTAGTAAGCTCATCATATGATAGTATAGATCTTTGTATAATGTTCTTATAAAACTGGCATTCTGTTCTTTAAGAGGTATTTAGTCTGAGATAAAATAAATCTCTGAGTAAGTTAGCCATGGAAAATCCAGTTTAAATGTCATTGTACATCTGACGGATAGACTTCTCAATTAGCTTGTCATAGTAGTAGTCTCTATTTTCCCCCTCCCATCCCATCAACTCCTTACTATAAAATGAATAAATAGCCTGCATTTTGTGAGTTCTAATTCAGATTTTTCAGTCCTGTTGTCCCTGTAAATCATAGAATGTTGTGGAAATGCTAAAGTTTTGTCCTCCATACTACATTTCCAGTATTGTCTCTTAAATCTGAAAGTTCAACAACAATCCTCTCCCATTTTGTTTGTTTGGAAAATATCTTAACCATGACTCCACCTTGCCACCAGTCACTTTCTCTGTTCCCTCACCCTAGTGGCTTCATGTGTCTCTCTGCTTGGACTCCCTGGCCCTTAGAGTCAATCCTAAATGAGGACGACACCTTTTTCCAGCCTCTTATTCATTATGCTTTGTAGTTTCCTGGAGCTCTAGAATGACCGTTCTCAATCGAGGTGTTACAGGAGCTCCTTTGTCATCCATGAGCTGGCTGCTATAAGTAAAATTAACCTATAATTTTATCCTGCCTGTGTTTCTGTTCCTGACTTGAATCCTTTATTTTTATCCCTTATGGCATTAAAGCACAGCGTTCCTTCCATTTATCCAAAAGAAGCTTCTTTTCTCCCTTAAACTAAACACAGTAGTGTTAGCAAGATAGTCTGGGATTTCTTTTTCCCTCCTTCCCTCCTGAAAGTTGTTAGAAACTTAAGGAAAACCACTTTTGAACACTCTTTACTTTTTTCTTGTATGCAAGTATCTGGAGAAAAAAGTATATCCTTTCTGGCACAGTAGTTGATAGCAGCAGACTACATTCCTTGCTTTGATGTGTGTGTGTCAGTGTCTTCTAAAGTCTGACTCCAAATGTGGTCTACGGGCCAGCATCATGGGCATCACCTGGGAACTGGATAGCCATGCAGAATCTCAGACCTCTTTCCAGACCAATTGAGTCAGAATCTCTAGTTTTATAAGGTCCTCTGTTGATTTATATGTCCATTAAAGTTTGAGAGGCATTGTTCTAGAACAGTGATTCTCATACTTGGCTGTACGTTAGAATTACCTGGGGAGCTTTTAAAAGAAATGATGCCTGGCACCCACCCTGATATTCTGATTTGATGGGTCTGTGTTAAGGGCCAGACATCGTGATTATTGAAAGCTCCCCAAGTGATCCTAATGTGTAGCCAAGTTTGCTAACCATTGTTCTAGAGGCTTCTGGGGAGTTGTTTTTCTTTGTTAGATTATGTTGACCATGTCACCCCAGAGGCCTTGCCCAGAGTGTCACAACTGTCACCTGATGGTTCCAGGTATTCTCTCCGTGCTGGTTGCCTTGATGGCAGGAAAGGCAGAGGTCAAGTACAACCCAGAGGTCATCCAGCCACTGGAGATAGCTCAGCTCATCCAGAACCTGGGCTTTGAGGCGGCAGTCATGGAAGACTATGTGGGCTCTGACGGCGACATGGAGCTGATTGTAAGTATAGTGGCAACGTCAGAAGGTTGCAGGCTCTTGACAGTTGGCAGATGAGTTTTTAACTGCAGCCATCTTTGTGATCAGTAAATTTCCCCAACCTTGGATATATCCATTTGTTGTTGTTGTGTTGTTTGTTTGTCCTTTGAAGCCAACAACAATGACCTGTTCATTTTGTGGAGAAAGGTAAGTTAGGTCCAAAAGTCACAGGAGGGGAACCAGCCGAGTGCATTCAGGGCATGAGGAAGAGGAGGAAGTAGTGAGTTCAGGAGTATTTAAAAAGATTGGCAGTCCTGACTTTGGTGGCTTGCCATAGGTTGAATATGAACACAGTGCTTCAAGGCTAAAGAGAATCTAGAATGCCTGCAGCCATCTCAAGGCAGAAGAGGTGAGTGAGGTGGTAGGGAGTGCCATTCAAACACAGGAATGTGAGTAGTGCCCAAAGTATCCCAGAGCCTAAGGTGGTGGTGTTCACAGTGTGTTTTTGGTGGGGAGGAGTTGTTTTCCCTTTGTCCACTGTTCCCAGCTGCATGTGTCAACAAATCATTGAAAACCACTGGTGTGTTTGGTGTTTAGGATATGCTGTGTTTCAACACACTTTTGTACAAAGTTCTCTTTGTACAAACAAGGGGAAACTTAGAAGCAACCCACAAAGGATTGAATAATGCTGTTTTATAGAGGTAAAGGGTCTTTACCTCCATAATGTGTTTAGTCACTGCCATTAGTGGTAACTAAATGTTTGAAGAAAAAGCAAAAAGTGTGGAGCAGCTCCTGATAAGCGGCGTTCTTTGCAGAGCCCTCACAACGTGGACCCAGCTACAATCCAGGCTTCCCTCCTCTTCCTCGAGCAGCCTGTGCCCAGCCATGCCTGGCTGTGGGTGGCTGCCAGAACACCTCAAGCTGTCCCACCTTTTGTCTTTTCCAAGCTTCTCCGTCTGTTGTTGCCCTTACTTTTACCTGGCAACACACTGTCCATACTTTGAACCCCTCAGATTCCATTTCCTCCACCGGTCACTTCCTGATTTTTCCTCCCACAGATAATGAGACATCGACATTGTCACCCTTGGAGCTAGCAGAGAGCACTGGAGTATGCAGGGTAACAGCGACTCAGGATTACAGAGTGTTTTAGGAGTTCACAGCGTTTTGCAGAGGTGCACATTCTTAACCTCTGGAGGCACTTGTTATCCTGGTATTGCTGGGAGAACCTTGAGACAAAGTGTAGGGCAGCTTACAAAAACCCGTTGTTATCAGAGCCAGAGTCAAACCTTGGTCTGTTGCCATCTGCTTAGTGAGTGGCTGTCTCCCATACCTGAGTTGGGGAAGAACCGCTGTTTATATCCCTGAAGCTGCTGGGGGAGTGTTAGGGGCAAGAGTCTTGCACATGGGATATGGAGGTGGGAGTCCAGAGTCTTGGCAGGGTGCCGTGGAGAGGGAAATGCTCGTGGCTGCCCGTGACCCCCACTCCCTGAGGTGCCTTTGCTAGGCTTCTCTTGATCCAGGGTCCATGGGACTTTTGTCCTCTTGTGCTGCAGATCACGGGGATGACCTGTGCTTCCTGTGTTCACAACATAGAGTCCAGGCTCACAAGGACAAATGGCATCACCTATGCCTCTGTGGCCCTCGCCACCAGCAAAGCTCACATTAAGTTTGATCCAGAAATTATCGGTCCACGGGATATTGTCAAAATTATTGAGGTAAGTCATTCATTAAAAACTTATGCCTACCTTTTTAAAAATAGTAATTTATAATCATTGGAGAAAAATGTGAAAATGTAGCTAAGCAAAAAGAAAAATTACCTAAATCCTTCAACCTTTCTCATGGAAATAAGGTTAATCATTTTAAGATACACTGTGAAGGTAAGTAAATATCGAATGACCTGAGGGAGAATGTCAGTGAATGGGTAAGAAAAAGATGGGGGAAATATCATTGAGGAACATCAATATTGTCAAGATACCTGATACATAGGGTTAAATTTCCCAATTGTAATTTTGAAGTATTATTTTTGTCCATACCAAGTAACTATAGACCAAAAGAATGGTGGCATTGGAAGGAATTACACTGCATTTTGCCCCTATGCTAGGCATGTCTTGTTGTGGGAGTGTTTGGTCATTCCTGCTTTGGAAAATCAGTAAGAATTTTCATGCAGGTCCTATCTCCTACCTCCTCCCTCAGTTTGTCTACAAACATACCCTTTCCTGCAGAGAGTTAGCATGAACAGGTGATCTGAATGGATTAAGACAGTCAAAACTGAACAAGATTAACTTCTAACAGCTAGTGGTAAGGATAAATTAATTTTAGCAGGAACTACTACTTCAGAAACTGCTTATGAAATGAAGTACCTTGTAGCAGCAGGCTTAATGCAGTGTTGTCCTTAATTTTCTTTTCATTATGTGTGTGTGTGTGTTAAAGAGGAATGTTATCTGTCCTGTGGCCCAGCAGAGCTTTTTGAATGGAAATGATGATGTGTTGATGCAGTGCCTCTTCCTGGAGGGAGACAACACAGATGCTTTATCAAATGAGGAGAAGTCCTCAGAGGTTAAGGGACTTTGCTCACTGGTACCAGCTCTTGGGTGGCAGAACTGGTCGTCAATCCCAGGTCTCACAGTTTCGAGCTCAGCAGCCCTTCCATTTCTGCTACACCACAATCCTAAAGAACAGTACTGATGTGGCATTGATGAGTCTGACGCAGAAAACAGTCTGGAGAATCCCAGGCAGTCCTTCGAACATGTCTCTGCTACCCTTCCTGAGTTCTAATGTCCTCGCTTGCCTCCCCACTGCCCCCCGAGCTTGGTGCAGCATCCTCTCTCTTTTTTTTTTTTTTTAAATAAAGATGACCGGTAAGGGGATCTCAACCCTTGGCTTGGTGTTGTCAGCACCATGCTCAGCCAGTGAGCAAACCGGCCATCCCTATATAGGATCCGAACCTGTGGTGTGGGTGTTATCAGCACCGCACTCTACCAAGTGAGCCACGCGCCGGCCTCAGCATCCTCTCTGTCCTTAGTTGAGAAGTATTGTCTACATCTGGCTCTGTTCTTGCATCTCTGGGGCATCTTTTCCTAATATAATTAAGCTGGTATTAGTTGTAAAAGGATTTGACTTTAGACAGTCTTAGATGCTCTTTCTCCCACCATGACTTTTAATTTTTGTGTAGAAGTCCCAGCACCAGAGTTCTTGGGTCCCCTCTCTATTGAGATTGAGGTGCAGTCTTTGTTGGGCCACGGTGGAAGCTTTTCTTCCAGACACTGAAGGAGCCATGTTCAGCACTAGTGTGAAGAAGCCTGGGCTGGAAGCTGGAGACCTGGTTCTGGGTCCAGCTCTTCTGATAATGCTGTGGCTTTGGGCAAGGTATTTAACCTCTCTGACCTTCAGTTTCCTCATGCATAGGATGGAAGTACCTGACCATTAGGTGTCTGAGACTCCTTAATTCAAAAATTCTGAGTTTATAAGTCAACACTGATTGGCTTTGGGGCCTGGTGAAGTTATCTTCCCAGAACCCACAGCCTTTGCCAACAGAAGGAACAGGAATTGCCATCTGATACTGTCCCCTTGGGGATGGAATGGTCTCTGAGCATGGATGGGTGCTGAACCTCTGAACAGAGTCTGTAGGCCATTTGAGTGAAGAAGTCATGAGAGGAAAACCCACTAGTCTTCGGAGGCACGTTTAGATTTACTTGCTGATTTCCAAAGCTGTTAAGTGCTTTCTACTAATGCATGTTTTTAATCAAGTACCTTTCTCCTTTTCCCCCACCCCTCTCTTTTTAATAACAAGGAAATTGGCTTTCATGCTTCCCTGGCCCAGAGAAATCCCAACGCTCATCACTTGGACCACAGGATGGAAATAAAGCAGTAGGTAGAACACAAAAGATGAACTGTAGCCCTTGTCTAAGTGTCCTCCCCTCCTTGGGCCCACCTCCGCGGCTCATTCATGTTGTGCAAATGCCTCCTGCTTATCCGTGTCCCTGCTGCCCCTGGCTTCGCACTGCGCCTTTACCCTTGTAATGTTGACAGTGCTAAGCAATGCTCTAAAACAATGCTGTTCAGTAGAGGTTTCTGTGATGATGTCAAAGTTTTGTATCTGCACTGTGCGGTATGGTCGCCACTAGTCATGTGTGGCTAGTGAGCACTTGCAGTGGAAGTGAACTTTTAATTTTTACTTAATTTTACTTAATTTTAATTTAAATGACCACCTGCGGCTGCTGGCTAACATTGGACAGCGCTTAAATTGGGAGGGAGGGAGGAAGTGTATATTTTTTCTTCGACAGTATTTTCAGACTTTATTTGCATCGGATCTGAGGACAGGCATCATGGCTGAGTGGAAAGAAAATGTCCTGGGAAGCAGGAGACCTGGGTTTATTCATTGTTTCAGATGGTCACTTATTCATCCAACACACTTAAAGGCTGCTGTTGGGTGCAGGGCACTGTGCCAAGTGCTAGGGGTGAATAGAATGTCATTAGTCCCTTAGAGGGGCCCATAGTCTGGCTGGAAAAGAGTGGGTGAGTAATGACAGCAGTGGTTCAGGGGGATTTCGGAAGGTCTTGGAAACCTCCAAGCAGGGGACACAAGATCTGAGCCTCAAGAATGGGCTCAAGTCTGCTAGTTGGTGGGGGGAGGAGGGACAGTCAGGGAGTAGGTGTCTTCTAGTGGCCTTCAGGGACTCCTGTGGTGTGGTCCAACTGGCATGCCTGGGGCACAGGAGGGACCGGCAGGAGAGTCATCTGGAAGGCCAGTTGGAGGCTGATTCTCGAGGCCTTGGGCAGCAGCCTGAGAGTGGAGAACTTCAGACTCACAAGCCAGTGGTTTTCAGGCCGTGTTTAAGGTGCATTTGGAATTTCATGGATGCTGCAGCTAACATGGGACCACAGCTGTTACCCGTGAACCCCGATTTCAAGCTTTGGTGTTAATCAAGACAGCTTCACTGTTGTTAGCGATTCTATTTTAACTAATTGTTCAAAAATTGAATATATAAGTACATTTATACTAATACAGCTAACATGGGACCACAGCTGTTACCCATGAACCCCGATTTCAAGCTTTGGTGTTAATCAAGACAGCTTCACTGTTCTTAGCGATTCTATTTTAACTAATTGTTCAAAAATTGAATATATAAGTACATTTATACTAATAAAATACTACTTTTATCTATTTTTTCTTTGGGCATTTGTATAGATAACATTTTGAAAAAAGAGCTGTAGGCAACCATAGACTGAGGATGTTAAACCTCTTTGGGGCTAGATTCTTGGCTCTGGGCCTCAGTTGCCTCATCTATAAGTTGGAGGTTACATGTCACCTATGTGAAGGCAGGGTCTGGGCCTGAGCATCTGCAGAACGTCTTACAGCTGTGTTTAGATCTTTAGACATTCCCTCTGATGCCTGCTATCTGGGAGAGACCCTTACTTTTGTTTTAGCCCTTGGTGGTCTGTCCCAGACATGTGACAAAGGCAGGTTTTGAACCGAGTCCTCAGCCAGCCCATAGCTCAAGTGATAAGTGGTATCTAATATATGTATGTTGCTGCGTTTGCTTTGCAGGTGGAAGAAGTCTTTCTTGTGCAGCCTGGTGTTTGGCATCCCTGTTATGGGTTTGATGATCTATATGTTAATACCCAGCAACGAACCCCATGAGTCTATGGTCCTGGACCACAACATCATTCCAGGACTGTCCATTCTAAATCTCATCTTCTTTATCTTGTGTACCTTTGTCCAGGTGCGTATTAGAAAGATGAGCAAACCTCTGCCCACTGTGCCTGTGTGTGGCCAGCAGATACTCTGCCTTTTAAGGCCAAACAAAGGTCTTCAGCTTGGTTTAAGTGACACTTTGTTGTGGCTTTCCTGCTGCCCGCCCCCAGACAGTTGCTGCTGCTTTTCTGTCTTGTGAACAGTGGGAAGGAGGTGGAAAGGACATACCCTCCAATGCGGAGGACTAAGAAAAGCCTGGTTTCACTGTCCATTTCACAGTTGACTCAGGTGATCAGAACTCTCACTGGAATACCAACCTTCTTGCTGCAAAGATTGGTGAACCTGTGTGTCTCCAGTTTGCTTTTTGTTTAGTTTAGTTTATCTCTGTTGTTAGAAGCAGCAGCTGGATCACCTGGAGCTCCCATTTCTCTTGAATGTTTTATCTTGAAAGGCAGAGATATAGTCCTTATCTTTGAGGAAATTATAATTTAAAAGAGACTGGTGTCAGGGCCGGCCCGGTGGTGCACTGCTACAGTGCGCCGCTTGGGAGTGTGGAGGCACTCCCGCCGAGGGTTCGGATCCCACATACAGACCGGTTCCCGCTCACTGGCTGAGCGAGGTGCGGGTGCGACACCGAGAGTTGCGATCCGTTGCCGGACATGAAAAGAGACAAAAAAAAAAAAAAAAAAGAGACTGGTGTCATTGAACCTCTTTACTCTGATGGTGATATTAAGGGACTAGCTGTATTTTTGGTGTGAAATGTGCTCCCTATGCGTATATTTTGTAATATAAGACTAAACTCCTGAGTTAGTAGTAGACTATTCAGGGGCAAGCATTTATAAGCTGAATTTGTTTTTTTCTATATTTTCTTTTTTTTTTTTTTTTTTTTTTTTTCTTTTTCCCGCCAAGGGTTCCCAACTCCCGGGGTCGCCCCCCCCCCCCCCCCCCCCAGGGGGCGG